GCCTGCTCCAGAAGCTCCCAAAGGTTTCCAAGGCCAGAGCAGACAGTCTGTAGAGCAACATTACCTTCAGCATTTCAGTTAAATAAAACCTGTGCCATGAATGGCTTTTTCCTTTGCAGTCTCTCACTATCTGTTCTTTCTCATCAGGTCACTAACTCCTTTACTACAACTATAAACAGAACTCAGGTTTAGTTAGTTGCCTCAAGGGCCCATCTGTTTCCCTTGCAGAAATATGGGTTAGCAGGCTGAAGGCTAGGTGACATGAATCTTACCCCCTAAGATGATGCATCAGTTTTACTTTGCAGCCACACCATTCAGTCCCAGAGGGAAGCTGGACCATCTCTGTTTTGCATCTCTTCAGGCCAATGCTGCTTCACATACTCCTTCGGCTATTGGCTATCTTGCCCTTCAACTCAGCGTTTCTGAAGACTAAAGGATAGTCTTTAAAGTGGACCACGTTCTTCTACGACTAATCCCTTGGCAAATACAAAGTAGTTATCAAAACAGCCACGCCAACTTGTAGCAGCTAAGAATCTACACATGGCGTGCAAAGGAAAAAAAACAACATTGGACTTGATCTCCAGAGGACCCTTCTGACCTCAATCATTCTGTGAACCACTCAAAATATAGCCCACCTCCAAAAGCTCTTGCAGGCTGAGCCAACTTTGTTTTGTCAATCCATCCCCCTTGCCCTCAAGGGGCCCCAATCCTACACATAACATTCAGTAGCTGCATTCAGCCACTGATTGAGCTAGTGATGTTAACTGAAGATACCTATAGGCAGTCTACAGTGCAGTATAAATAACCTACAGCTCTTAGGAGAGCCCTGCAAACCCATACATATCACCCTGCAGAGGGTGGAAGGCAAGGGGAGAGAAACGTGCACTGACTAGCCTTGCTGAAAGCCCTGCAAGACAGTGGCCCTTCTCACCAGACAGTAAGCCATGATTCAACCATGCAGAAGGATCTGTGGACTTCATATCCTCTTAAACTTCTGTGCCTCCCTTTCTAACAAGGAGCCTCAGAAGACCCCCCTTGTGTAAGGGGAAGCCACAGCCATAAAACAGTACCGAGGATGAGATCTGGCTGGGTACTTCATCTTTTTGTGCCTCTGCCCCCCATCTGCTAATCTAGCTACCTCCTTTTTATACCCTAGACATTGCCTTTTCTTAGCAAGGAAGCCAGCCTGGGCATCTATTCCTATTTTCCCCACCCTGAAGTCCATTCTGTTGGGCTCCATACCTTTGAAGCTTTGTCAGATGGTCATGCATGCCAAGCAGTCCTGTACATCACAGGTGCTAACAAATCCCATTTGCTGCTGCTGAGCCTCACCCAAGTCACCTTTCCTTGGCCCCAGTCAGCCGATTTATCTTCCTGGACAGGTGGAAAACTGCCTAGACTTGTCCACAGGACAATTAAAGCTCTGCAACAGCAGTAAGAGGCAGCCTGTGTGCACGGGGGATGGGGAAAGGGATGTATGCCCGCTCTAACGATCATTTAAACCTGCTTATCTTCATCACCACTTGGAGTTTAAGACCAGGCGGGTGGTGTTTTAAAGCCGAGAATCTGGTTACAGAGCTAACAGGATTTCAGAGATCACCAGAGATTCAGAAACTCTCTTTATGCCCATTAGTAACAGCAGGTTCAAAGCATAGAAGTTTCGAATACAAACACGTAAACTGGTGGTAAGCCAGAAATTCTCAGCAAAGACATACTAAAAAGAGCAGATGCGTCCCCAGCCCTTCAACTCCTAACAAATACACAAAAAAAGACAAAACCAAAACCAAACCAAAAACACACAACACAAACATCTAACTGTATTTACAGAGCTGGAGGAGATGAGGACTTCATTCTGTTCTTTGCCACTGTCTCCCGGGAGGTCCTAAGGCAAGTCAGTACTTTTTTTTCCATGTCACTTTGTACAACAGGGAGCATCATCTGTCCAAACTATTCAGACTGCAACTTCTGCGGGGCAGGGATACACGAGCTATCCTGCATAAGGCCTCAAAATCGAGCCTCCCACTGTGCAGGCACTTCTGCACAATGTACAGTTACTGACAAGTATTAAAGGTTCTTCTCCCAGCTTGGTCATCTCATTGCACACACTAATAGGATGGGATGCCATTATAACCCCTGGAACAGATTCCTCTGTGGTTTATGTTCCTGGAGACACAGTGCTCCAGAGAGAAAGAAGAGATAGCATGTGCTTTTTAACAGAGAACTGGACTAGGCAAAGTTACTGTACTGCCCACTAGAAAGTGGCCTGAGTACATGAGTTATTCAGAAATGCTGCCTGGCCACACAGACCTGCAAATGCTCCAGAACGCAGGGGAAGAGGAATTTCACATGCTATGTTTATTTTCTGTTTTCACTGCTGGGCACCACTTCGCTACTTCCCATTCTACCGCAGAAATGGCTGCAGTTTGACAGTGTGTCACAAACCAGCTGGCCCTTCTCCAATATGGGAGTTCATGGAAGGACCTGAACTGGACACTGGAACAGGCAGAACTGAAATTCTTTACAATGAAAAGTTGGTTGTGGTGTAGGTTATTCTCTCCTAAGCTTTCTCACCAGCTAGCCATACGGGTGCCAAACTCAAGCCCAAATCTTTGTGCATAGCATCTGGTTTCATATGGACTTGAGCCAATGATCTTAGCTAATGAAACAAAAGGGTACTGGCTTCCTCTGAAACAATCCCCTAACGCCCTCAGGAAACACAGTCACACACAATGCATTTCTAGATGGAACAGTTCAATCAAATGTCTCACAAAAGCAGCTCCCTCTGATTCCTTACAATGTAAAGTTAAATCCAAATCATGTACAGTAACATTCCTTGGTAAATGCTCTGCCATATCAATTCCTTAGGGGAAAGGAGGAGGCATCGTCAAGGGTGGGGGGGGGGTGCGGAAGGGAATCCTACTTACTTTATACAGCCAATGATGACCTGCGTCAAAGGATAGATCAATGGCTCCATGACCTCGCTAGGATAGACTGCGCTGAGAACCCGACACCAGAAATACAAGCAGTGGATATACTGCCAGTTATAAACAGACTGGAAGTTCTCCTGCAAAGGAAAAAGAAAAAAAAAAAAGAGGGACACAAACACAAACTTGAGAAATCGGGAATTGAGGAGTTCACTCTGGTTTCTCTACCAGACTCTGATTTTATCCGGCATTCTCCAAGAGGATAGGGCGTACTGTTCAGAGAGGGATAGCTAACATTCTAGCTGTAGCCTTGATGCTGGTGGCTCTGACTCACCATCCAGCAAGTTCAGATGCGTGCAGGAAGTCCTGGTAATGTTATGATTTGGTGCTGGCTAGTGCCTCGAAGGAAATAACGAGCAACACGCAGACTGCCTTCCCTCAACAAGCGCAGCTCACTTGAGAAGGATGATTTAACGACCCAGCTCACAGTACACAGTGGGATCAGGAAGCCTTTAACAGTCCCTGGTACACTCCCTGGTCTCCCACAGGTAGCAAGGCTGGAAGGTACCTCTACAACAGCCTTGTAATCTACCTCATGCACACCGGGGGGGGGGAAGAAAAAAAAAGCAGGTAAAGGTACAGTGCAGACTGACTGCAGAGAGGGGAAATTTCCTGCAAGCTTCAATCTCCTTTGGTTGTTATGTAGCAGCTTGTCCTTCCCACTAGAGGTTTCCTTTCCCTCAGCTGTGTTAAACCACTACTGAATTTGGTTAACTTGCTGAGGGATAGGCCCCACTAATTTTGAAAGGCAATGCCTGCTGCTTACTTTAAGGATGTTCCTATAAGCATTCACTGTTCAGTAAGCACCAAATGACCAGCCCAGCACCGGTTTGCAGAACTCAACATTTCTTCCTGCAGTTGAAAAAAAAAAAAATGAAGCTCTCGTGGTAGTGTCTTTTCCAACTGCAGAGTGAAGATGACCGACAGCAGAGGCGAGAACAAACTTTCAGCTGTTCATAAGCTGGCCTTCACGGTTACCAACACAAATAATGCAAGAGGCCAGCCTTGTGTTTAACATGCAGTGATACTCAAGCAGCAGACTATTCAGGTTGGCTCAGGGGTATGGGGAGGCACGGGCCAAGTCTTCCACAAATCCAAGAGGCACTGTTTTCAAGAACGTCTGGACAAACCCCTCCTCTCTCTCCCTGCCACGTGCCTGAACAGCCCACAGTACCAGACTAAATAAAAGCCCAGAAGAGCGCAGAAGTCTTTTAAGGATACCCTGTCCAGACATTTCTACAGGCCCATGCAGCCCCTAGAATCGAGGGAACTGCACCAACTGAGGTCTTATGAGATTGAGCTTAATGAGGGGCCTCAGCTCAAACTTGCACTTCACTTAAGACTTTCAAAGTCCAGATCACCTCCTCTTTTGCACGGATGAAGTAAGATGTGTAAATCCTGGAATAAGGACAGAAGTCCTAAATTGCAGCCACTGGTGCAGCCCTTGTGCTGGGGACTTAGGCTGCAGCTGGACAAGACAGCACTCTCCCAGCAAGTCGCTATTTGTGAGATGCATCAAGAAGGTCTGTTCTCACCTTCCCTTGCACAACAAGTAAGCAAACTGCTCTCATAATCCACCTTCCACAACCACCCACCGTTCAATTTAAATAGGCTTGGTGCTGGGATTTGTGCATTTTGGTCATGCTAATGTCATTTAAAGTTCCCACAGCCCTCCCCAGCTGTGAAATCAAGTAGATTTAGGTCTTGTCTGGGCAAGGGCTGAGGGGGTAAGAAGCCAACACAATCCAATTAGGGAATACGGAGCCCAGACTTCGTTTATCTCTGCTCCGTTTATCCCCATGTCTGAAGAGCCAGGAGATTTGACTGGTCACCAATCCTGCAACGTTTGGAAGCAGCTGAACCATTAATCTATGGGGGTCTGTTTTGCTAAACATGACTAAAGCCAGGATTAGCAGTCTGACTCAGATTTGCCAGGTCAGACTGGAGGCGGCACAAAGCAGGATAGCTCCCAAAAGGGTCCGAGCTGCTTTGTTCAATGAAGCTCTCCAAATAGCATGGATGGGAAAAAGCAGCTGCTGAGAAGATAGAGCAGATGTACCATGGGCACTGCACTGGAAAGACACACACACCAGGGTGATTCCTAATCTTCTTTACTCTGGAGTTTCGCAACAGTGGCTGCCAACACGTTTCACAAACAAAGGGAAAAAGTATGCCACAAACTCTTGCTAGTTGAGGAAAGAAAAACGGCTCCTACTCTGCAGTGGTCTGCTCTCTCCTTCTGTACTGAAAATCCAAACTAATACAGAAACAAAGAATGTTCACAGGTAGCTATGGGGCGAGCTTTGAACTTCCCTGCCACAGGGCATAACAATTCCTCAGCACATCATGAAATGGATCAGACAAGTACTGACACTTTATAGTCATCACAAAAAGCCTGACGCTGCTGCCGTAATTTTCCCTTTTCCACGTATATTCCATAGAAGCATACTCCTTCCACATTGATGGGCGGGCACCTACCTTCTTTTTTATGGTCATGGCACTGCGCAGGTGAATAGCAAGCTGACGGATATAGATGAAGGCATGCTGGTAAGAGGTATGCGTGTCCAGGGCATACAACTCCGTCAGTGTCCGCTGCATGAAGTTGATCATGGGCAGGACGTTGGGGGATGTGAATCTGGAATTTTTCACAAACGCGATGTACATTTGCTGTGGGGAAAAGACGACAAGATACAACCCCATAAAACAGTCGGAACTAAACCAGTCTTTCACCAGCCTTCCCCTCCCCAGGGATTCCAAAACCATGAAAGGACTATTGCTTTTGCAAGTCTTTCAAAGGTAGAGGCAAAAATAACAACCCAGCCTGCTCCTTCTTCAGCAGAGACAGGGAAGAGAGTACTTTTGCACCTGTACATTCTTTACTACAGAGCTTGAAGATGCCCCTACTGTTGCTTCTCCACAAGAAGAAAGGAAGGAACTGTGAGATGGCTTTGAGCCATACGTGCTTGTAGCTGGTCACACTGGTTAACACAGTTCTCCTATGACAGTGGTACCTCAGCAAACTACTATATGGTAATTCGAGAACCCCAGCAACTAGGTGAAACATCAGAGCAGCTCAGCAGCACTCCTGGTGTGTCAGCACTTGAAGAAAGCCTTTAATAATTTGGTGGATGAGTATTCACTCTGCAGTCAGACAAGGAGACCCTGCTAAGACCCTGCCTATGTGCCTCCACGCAGGAATGGCAGCGAGAATACGAAGGATCTCGCTCTTCAGTCTCACACACAGTTTCTTCCTGTATTGTTTTCTGAGTGTAGCCAGCATCACCTCCAGCACCTGCCCTGCCTTGTAGGCTGCAGCTCATGCTCTAAGGTGTTTGCATATAACTTGAGAAAGAAAAGCTGCAGAGCAAAGCATGTACCAGCCTTACCTTGAGCAATGGACTTAGGTACAGCTCCTTCTTGTGGCGGCAGATCTTGTTAAGCACTAAGAAGGCCAATACTCTGACCGTTTCCTCACCTGTGCTCCACAGATGAATTGCTTGCTGGAGAGGAAAAGAAAAAGGTGCATGTACGAGGAGAGACTCTTTGTCCCTTCACTTCAGAGTCCCGAGCTTCCCTCTTTTGCCACAAAAATGCAAGGGAAGAAGAAGGTGACAAGGATGGCTCATTATTGTCACAGAACCAATCACAACAGAGCCTAATGCTCTAGCTGTGAGACCACAAAAAAAGGCAAGGTCAGTGCTCCCATGAGGAGTGCAGAGGAAACTGTCCAAAACTAGCACCTCTGAAAACACGTGAATCTTTATTTACATGCCCAAATACAGATTTAAGCTTCTGACTATAGACACCAGCGTTTCCATGTGATTCAATCTCCCAGGCTTTGCAGGACTTCCTCACCTACTCCTAGAAGACAACACACTAACTCAACACATTTGGGCACTACATCCTCCAACCAAACAAAAAGTCACCTCTATGTCAAGCCACAACCGACTTACGTTTAAGCAATTGCCCACCAGGAGTCACACTCCAGTTCTGGCCTCGAACACCGTACTATGGTTTCTCTAATAGAGCTATTAAAGATGCACTTGACTCTGGACAGGGGAGATGAGTTTGTTTTCTGGATTCAGTGATGTTTCTTGCCACTTGGCAAATCAGAACTAATTAGCTCATCTCCACTAATGAGCTCTAGAGGAAACCAGGAAGATTCTGGCCACACTGCAGGGCTGGACATGCCCTCCCTACTGTAGCAGTCAGCAGAGACCTTTAGATATGAGGCACAGGTCTCCCACATCACTTTACGTTAGCCATCGCTAGCATCAAAGGATTCCCAAATTCATTTAAGAGCTATGCTGCTGCCCTTTATTTAAATGTCACCCTGTTGCCCTCTTCCGCTCCTCCACACCTCCTTGTCTTGTTGTTCTTAAGCACTCGGCAGTTGTGACTAAACTGCCACAAAAATATTCCACCACCTGCTCCTGAGAGTGAAATATTGTCACAGATGTATACCCAGACTCAGCACACAGGCAGCAATTACTCCATCTGGGATGAAGAAACAGATAGCTTCCCCAGAACACCTCCACATCACTTTGCATGGGGATTAGCAGCAACTGCATGCAGAACCACACGCCCACTCCACTCTCCTCACTGTGAAAGAGCTGCATGACACCCAGAAGACCTGAGAGGCATTGATCCTTTCTGGGACCAAAAGAAAAGCAAGCAAAGAGGAATCCAAGAAACTGGACTGCCATGCAATCTAGCCCAAATACCACGAGAGATTCACCTGAAGGGGTAGAGAAAATACCTCAAATCTAAATGGTACGCCACAGCTTGTCACCTTACCTTGAGAAGTACACGGCACTGCTTTGGAAAGGACAAATAGTAAGGTACTATGGAGCTGACGTGCTGAAGGACTGCTGCTCCAACAGAGGCTTCTGTTAAACAAGACAGGAGCTACAGGGAAAAGCATAGCATGATACCAGTCAGTCTGTAGTCCCCATTACCTCCTCCTTTACCAGTGTTTTAAGCAGCTGCACTTTGCTGTTTCCAAGTATCTCCGCGGTATCAAAGGACTGGAAGGGCACCCTTCCCCATGAGCAAGCCCAAACAACCCCCAGCAGTATCAGGAATGGAGCAGGCCCATGGCAGGGTAAATAAATTCCCCAAAAGTATTTCTTTGCAAACCCGGGCTCATGCTACTGGGCTTGCATGGCTACTGGCACCTGAGCTCATCACATGAAAGCTGGCCTGGGTACACTGCAATAACTCAGCCTGTTTGCAGTTTGAGACACCTTACAGAACGCATGACACCAACACCTTTGCCATCTCACTGCAAAGAGCCAAAATACAATGAAGACACCCTCAGCTGACACAAGGCTTGGAAACAGACTGTCTGAATTATCTGATGACTTACATGATTTTACCAGCATTTCTGTAATAGAAAGCTGGAATACCATATGGGTATCAAGGGGTTAATTCCAGCTCAAGCAAAAGTTAGACCCGGATTGCTGAAGAAGCAACACCTCGGTATTTCTGGGTTGTTCAGATCAGTCCACGTGGAACCAAACCCAAGCAGAGGAGTTTAGGGTTTCTAATCTGAAGGTACAATGTTAAGTTCAAAGTCATTTCAATTTGAAAGAGGTCCTGCCTGATGAAATGCCTCCTTTTGCCTAAAATCCCAGTGCCTGGAAGCAGAGGCAGTTTTCCTGCTTTTAGTTTTCCTCCTTGTTCTTTCTACCTCTTCAGTGCAAGGAGTCTGAATTGGGCAGGTCTCCCCTGCAAAGTCCCTCACGCGCCAACAAGAAAGGTGAAGACATTTTTCAGAAACTACTAAGCTAGAAAAACATTGCAGTGAAGTCTAGGATCAAGGGCACTCAGAAGCAAGCACAGGACCAGGGACTACTTTAATGTGACTGAGTTGTCTGCTTTTCCTTCTTTCCTAATGCAATCCTTAGTTCCTCTGCTCCATGACTCGAGGAAAAAGCTATCCTGCTTTGCAGATCAAAATGCTGCTTTCTGCTAAATCATTCTGCCAGCTCAACACTAAAGGACCTCAGCACTTCCTTTCTCTCTCCTATGTCCCCTTCTGCCAGCTTCTGAAGGAGAAGCATCTCATTTTTTTAATATTCCAAATTTTGGGGCACCGTGAAATGATCTCTCAGCTTCATCTCCAAAAAGATGGTTGGGGGTTGGGAGGGTAAGAAAAGGTAGGGAGGAGGGAATTTCCTGCAAAAATAATCCCTGTGCTGTCACTGAACACAAGACACAAGCAACTCAGCATAGATGGGACATCCTAAGGGGGTGGAGCATAACCATACTTGGAGATGGCATATGCAAGGAGCAGAGGTTATCAGCACAGCTTCTTCGTATTTACTGTAAGAAGGGGCAAGATCATAACGCCAAAAACTACATTAAAGAGGTAGAACGCAGGCCGCGAACTACTTTAAACCCAATTATTTGGGCAGACAGAAATTAAGATAGAAAACCGCCAGAACGTTAACCCAGCCCTTCTTTACAGGCTTTCATCCAAACACCCTATGAAGCTCCAAAGCTTTAGTTAGACCAAGCATTTCCAAAAGCTAACACAGATAGCAAAGCGTGCAAATTCACAACTTGCAGATGCCTAAGGCACAAAGACCCAATGAGATGCAGCGGGAAGAAGCAACTTCAGGCAGCGAATCTTACCCTCCACTGCACAGGAAGGCATAAAAACAAGACCTTGAAGTTACCAGTTGTGTAACGGCCAGGAAGTCACCCTCAAACTGGAATAACTGCTTCTTCAAAAGGAAGAGCACCTGAGGCTACAAACATCACTACCTATTTTAACCATCTTCTGGATGGCTGGGCTCTAATTTAGTCACGTTGTTGGCAGATGCAAAAGCCCACCTACCTTTTTCCAACATACCCTAAACAAAAGCCCAGTGATGCACAGACTGAAAACGTAAGCACGCTAAAGTTTCTTACTTGGATGGTGCAGCTCAGGTACACTTTTATATCCAGTCGCAGCTTGCTCCAAAGCGGGCTGGTGGAAGGGAGGACCATTCTGAAAATTAAAAAATGAAACAAAATAATAAAAGACTTCAGCAGTACACAGAACAGTGAGTTCACTTCCTTGGTATGGCCAGTGAGTAAAAACAATTGCTGACAAAGTTTAAAAAAAAATAAAATAAAAACACCCCAAAAACCTCACACAACTTTCTCACGGGTGAAAAGAATTATCTCTATTCTGTAAAATAAGGGCTGAAAGACAGCATTAAAAAAATTCAATTCAAACGGAAGTACAGCTTCCCAGCAGGGCATTCATGCCTCTGCAAGTGTCATATAGAGAACTGTGGCAACCAGAAAGCCTGAGGGCGTCTCCCTGAATCCCTCACAGTTGAAGGTATCTGCTCTTCTGCTCAGGGGCCACTGCCTGAAAAGAATGGCCTGGCTTGCAGCAAGAAAGGCTGTTACTGGGATTACACCAGTTGGGAGACATTTGTTCAGTCTCTTCTGAACTTCTGACACTGCATTCACAAAGTAATAATTGCCCCAAGTCCTAGATCAGGCCAAAATTCAGACACAATCCATACTAGTTATGCCTGTGCAGTCAAAAAGGCTGGCATTTGCACCCAGCACTCTAGTACCCTCTAGAGCCAGCGCAAAAAGAATGTGGACTTACTCTTCAGACTGGGCATCACCACCAAACGGGAATCCAGAGTTTAGCTCACCCTTCCTTTCATCTGTGACAGGGAAATTAGCAATGACTGCCACAAAAATTACCCTGGAACTGAAAGCACTTCTGAAAGGGATCCAGTTCTCACTCTGCCCACCACTGGGAAGAGAAGAGATCAGACTAGGAAGCAAGCGATAAAACTGCGTCCAGCTGAAACTGCTAAGGGATTCAGGTAAAAAGCTTCTCCAAACATCTAGTAGGAAACACAGCCCAGGCACAGGGGCTAAGGTGGCTCCAGCTTTTGGGGAACTTAATGCCTTATTATAAGGATCTGCGCTCACAGTCCCTAGCTATGGCATTGGCTCATCCAGCAAGAGTTGAGACTGATTTAGATTTCCCAGCACCTCTTCCAGCTGCTCCCAGGTAAGCCATGCTGATCTCCCCATTCAATTATGGATGCAGACTGACTCAGACTCTTGGGGCACCAACCCTCACAATAGCCAGAGACTTCCCAGGTCTTAGACAGCATCTGAAAGTTCAAAATTGTCATTGCTGCTCTGTAGTCAGATCAAACAACAGCATCAAGGAATGCGGCACGTGGGTTTTAGATTAATACTGCTGTTCTGGAAAAACAGATAAATTGTACCATTCTTTACCCAGTTGTGTGCTCTCCTCCGTTCTATCCATGCTCTAACAGAGAGCAGGTCAAACCCAGACAATCCATCTTTCAGAATGCCAGGGTAATATAGCTGCTAAAGCCCTGGATTGACCGAAGTCGCAGAGCTGTATGGGTGAAAGGGTTGGTCTCTTAAAAAAAAAGTTGCAATGTTTTAACACTGCTCCTGAGTGCAAGGGAAGGTGTAAAGACAGAACCAGACTCTTTTCAGAGGTGGCCAGTAACGGGACAAGAGGCAACAGGCATGAATTGAAACACAGAAAGTTGTCTGAATCAAAAGGAAAAACTTCTTTTTTTACTATAAGGATGACTGAGCACTGAAACAGGTTGCCTAGACACTGGGCATCTATGGAGACTGTGGAGATCTCCAAAGATGGAGACTTCAAAAGCTGTCCAGACACAGGCCTGAGCAATCTGCTCTAGGCCTCCCCTTGAGGAGGGGGGTTGGACTAGACGATCTCCAGATGTCTCTTCCAGCTCAACCATTCCGTGACTTTACTACTGTTTGGGAAGAGCTGCCATTTTTTTCCAGCTTTACAGACAGGTTTCAGGTCTGAAAAAGCCCAACCAGTACTCTTTCACCTGCCATTCTCAGGTCCCCTCAGACTTACTTTAATTTGCTCTTTGGGGCTTTCAGCAGAAGAAGTTTCTGCAGACAGTTGAAGAGATCCCGGATGCAGAATGACACTAGGGCATTGAACACTGTTTCCAAAAAGAAAAAAAAAAGAAAAAAAAAGTGTTAATAAAGCACTTGCAAGCTATTTTCCATTTATTCTTGGTTTCTCAGCTAATCTGAGAAGAGCTCCCAAGGAGCTGAAGCCAGCAACTCCCACAGCAGAACTGGGGAGTTCCCAAAAGCTTTCAGAACACATCAATTTCCCTCATCCTACAATTCTTATCTAAATGAGAGGATCACAACCGACAGCTTTCTGGAATAGGGGTCATCTCTTTGCTCCCTGAACAAACAGCACCAACCACAACAGAAGTTTAACCCATAACCAGAGCTCTATGCTATCATCACTCACCCCGAAAAGATATTTTTCTTTAAACAGTCACAGCAATGGACACGCAAGCTCTGTGTAGTGGTGTCTTGCACTAAACAATGAGAATTGACTGAAAGCAAGAATGAGCGAGCCCTATGCTGGGCAAGGAAGGACTAAGGAGGACATGCATTACTTAAGCGTAGTGAAGCCTGTAAAAGGGTAAGCCAACACTGCCTTATTCTCTTGCAATAAACCAACGTTTATCCTTACTCTCTTCCAATAGCACAACCTTCCCTACCAAAATGACTTCCCTTGCACAAAAGTACGGTGAAAAACTCACCTGCAGCATCAGTAACTTGGAATTTGCTGGGATCAGCCCCACCATCATCGCCTTTCGTGGTTGCTACAGATGCTTTAAAGGCTTGAGTGATTTCATGGAAAAGTTTTGGTGTTAATCGTTTCTGGGGAAAGAAGAAAAAAGAACTGCTGTAGAGAAAAGGCAAGCAACGTTCTAGAACTCTGAAGCACTTTACTGGGACAGGAGCATTGAAATATATTTTGATTGCAAAATAACTCCATCAATGGGAAGGAAAAACGTCAAAACAACGTTAACAAATGCTAGTGGCTTTCAGTTACTCTAATATGGATTTGCAAGGCTTATAATTGGTTGGGGGTTGAGAAGCAATGACTTCACTGCAAGCAATTATCCAGTTTCACCTTATCCTCTCCATCTTAGCCAGAAGCAGCAAGTTGTCCCATCGCTGCTCCAGTGTGACTTTGAAAAAGCTCTTGGAACTGTCAAAGGCACAGTGTCCTTTGAACTGTCCCCCCTTAGCAAGGGGATGAGCAAATGGAAAAATGAATCATTCTAACCTCTTCTGAGTCACTCAAGTTTTTCTAGCCTCTCCCTCAGATGGAGTGTGGATACCCCAATCATGTGGCCCAAACAATAACTGCAGAGACAAGTCATGCCAAAGTAACAAGAGTTCTTTGAATATGACTTTGTCACCATCTTCTCTGTACCTTTTTTTTTGAAAGATGAATAAATCAAAAGTTGGTCTTTTAAAGGTAATGACACACGTAGAAGAATGTTTTAAGGGAGAACATGCAAGCGCCTTGTATCCCATCTCTTTTCTCACCTCTGCAGCTTTTTTCCATTGTTCAACCATTTTCAGGCTCACAGGGATGAAATCAGCTTTCTTCTGTTTGACTGTGTCATGTTCTTCCTCATCTTCATCACTTGCTTCCTAGAGAAGTTGGTATCAAGACTGAGAAAAGGTTTGTACAGTTCTTTTTTGGTCCCATTTATTCTGCTGAGTAGCAACTGAAGATACTTGTGGGTGGTGAGAAAGGCAGGCAGCAGTAAATTTTATTCAGGCTGCTCTCAGCACTGCGTAAAACAGTAACAAATATAAGTGCCTTACAAATGCTAAAAAAGCTACTTCAGCCCTGCAGCTTTGCTCCATAAACACAATGTGCAATAGCTGACATACCAAGGAGAAAGCATTTCATTCCAAGGAGAATGACTTCTAACAGGCAGAGGAGATAAGAAAACTAAGCTATAGGGAAAACCTACTCCAAAGGCTTTGCCTTCAGTCTTAAACATACTCCTCATACGCAGTTCAAGTCCACAGCTGACTTCTGGGTTACAAGCCTGCACAGCTGCAGCTGATCTTTAGGGAGGCCCTTTGCTAGCCGCCACAGGCCCAAATACGCTCAGTCCCTGCCACTGAAACTCAAATACTTAACACCTGAGTAAATAAAAGCATTTAAGCCACAGTTCCAGAACAAGGCCTAGTACCTCCAGCGTATCGGGTGGTCTGTGTAACCCTTCCTCCTCCTCCTCAGAACTGTCTGAAGCATCAAAATCCAGCAGAGTGCGGTCATTTTCTTCCAAAAACTTATAAAATTCAGGATCTTTGTCCTTGAGCCGGGAGAGCTGATCTTTATGTTCAGATGCCTTCCCCTTCTTCCTGGTAGGTAAGAATTAACATGCACACATTCATCACTCAAACAGCTGATGCTCTAGGAGAGAGCAACCTCTGGGCACTAAACCGCACCTGGGGCTGATGTGAATGCTGACAGTTTTATCGAGGCTGGGGCCACAGCTCTCTAGCCATTTCAGCCTCTGGGTTTTTTTTTTTTTTTTTTGCCAGAAGCTATTTATTTAATTCACGGCTAAGAAGTCTCGACAGTAAGTTGTCGGGTTCTGCTGGGCAGATGCAGATACCGCCTGAGGGGCCTTGCAAAAACCTTGCAAATAAAGTCGCTCTGCCCCTCAGGATTACCCTGGAGGGCTTTTTACAAAGGCAGCCGAGAACCGCGCCGTTAGAGGAAGCTCGCGATGAAAGCTCAGCAAAGCAGAGAACAACTACAAACGATTTTTCAGACGCCGGCCGGCCATACCAGGAACCGCTTCC